CAGACTTACCAAATAAATGTGTTTAACACAGTATGTGACGGACATACAGTGACTGAATGCATCATTAACACTCCTCTAATGTATGTTTTTAGTGTGCAAAGTAGCAGCAGCCTCACCGAGACCAACACTGTTAAAATGAAGGTCAGGTAAACACAAGTAAGGGAATCTTTGCATATTTTTGTACCAGCTGAACACAGGAGGGTTTTTTGTTCATGCAGAGTCTGCGACTACAGACTGATCTGAAGGACCAGTAACCAAGTTGTCCTCTTGGTGTTTGTATTTGTGGGGCTGCTGCTGTCTGACGTTCATTCTGAATCCGTGGAGATGCAGTGAAGTTTGGGAATGACGGCTGGTTCTGATGGTGTCCAAACTGTTTGAAATAAAACACAAACTGGTTTTGATGATAACTCAACTCTGCTCTCAGTCTCTTTCATTGATAGTGTTTGACTATGGCGTCTTGTTTTTTTTAAACATACATGCAGAAAAGAGGAGGTAATGCAGTTGTGTGAAAAAAATAATCACATCTTTGCTGGTTGAACAGAAATTAAGAGGGTAAGTAGCAGCTAGATGCTCGTAATCTAATGAGTTGGATCTTTTCAGGATGAGTAACTAAAATTGGTTAAAATGGCTCTTTGCTGACTGTAATGAGTAGACACAGCAGTGGTCCGTTAGGAGACCTTTTATGTTCAAATGCTATGCTTCGTAGATCAGTGTAAAAGTGGCTTAAGAGATAAATAAATGTATTACTCTGAAAATGGTCAGGTACAAGGACTGGACTGGAAATGGGGGACAAAGCAGGTCCAAAGAGAACTCTTAACAGACCTTCAGAAAGCCTGCGAACTGATGCCCAAGACCACTTTAAAGAAATAACAAGACAGTCTGGCTCCTTGGAAGCAAAAAATGCAGAAATGAGAGGTTGCTCGAGTGCTGTACAAGCGCTGTCCATATTTAAAGTCGATATAAATAGAGGATTCTGATGATGTGGTTTAAAAAAAACTAAAAACGGATGCACAGTGAAAAACTTGAAAAATTAAAAAATAAATAAATTCCACTGAAGTATTTAAGAAAAAGATGCTTGAAAGGTTAAAGGGACTATTTATTTAAAAAAAAAAACATTTGCTGTAGAAGCCCAGAAAACAACTATTTACCTGCAATCAGTTGTTTGTGCCAGTCTACCGTGACTGCAGTTTATTTAATATTTGTACTTGTTGCTGTACAAAATTAACCTCCTGAGACTTGAGGTTGTTTGTTGCCTGCTTGAGAGGCATATTTGTCCTCTCTCTCTATTTGGACAGTTGGACCTGGTACATGTAAAGCAAAAAAAGTGTCCTAATATGGGGGGATTGGGTTTATTTTGCAGCATAGCACAATAAAGTCAGTATTGTGTAACACTGTTTTAGAAAAAGGTGCAGAAACATCTGAAAACGGTGTGAATATAAATTATTTCACATTTTAAACCCTTTCCCCCCTTTTATAACTTAAAAAACCCCACAAAAACTTAAGCTTCCCTCTCTGGGTTAAAGCCCATAGCTCTTCACTCAGCTGCCACAACCAGCAATTAGGATTTCTTTCTGCAACCTCAGTTTTCCTGAAAGTTTGCTTCAAGTTAAGGAGCCATGAGCCAGAAAAGCAGGGAACCGCTACTTCAAGTTAACACAGCATCAGCAGACAGCTGGATGGTCCAGAATCCACAGTGACGCAGTTTACAAACCTGATATTTCCTGCTGAAAGTCAAGTTATGCAAACATTGCAAACATATAAAACTGAGGATACTGGTTGACTGCAGGCATTTCGTGAAAAAAAAAAGAGAGCTCTCCAGTTTTTAAATGGAAGCTGAAAAGCTTTCTGCCTGCCTATTCTGTGTGAGATCATCCACCCCTGGAGGCTTTTTTGTCTTCTGACATTATTGCTCTTAAGATGCTTGTCCCGATGCCAAAAGCATGACCGCACTCCAGCTCCGAGAAGCCGTTGAAGCGGCGCACTGACTCAGTGCGTTTATCCCACTC